TCTGTCAGCTAGAATCTGAGGTCCAATAAGAAGATCATCAGCCCACAGCTCTGATTATTGAGAGAACAAAGCAGGTTAAAGAAACATTAACTAATTAAATGGAACTAGGTCCAGACATTTCTTTCCACAGCCACCTCTTCCAGCTCTCCAAGGACCCCAAGATGTTCCCAGGCCTAGAGACAGTCTCTCCAGCGTGTCCTGGGTCTTACCGGGGTCTCCTCTCAGTCAGACATGCCCAGAAAACCTTCCTATAGGGATATGCTGGTGAAGATTCTCAGTCATCCAGGACATGATGAATTCAAAAAGCGTTCAATACAAAAACAACTGGACTTTATTTGTAACAGAAGACGTTTCGCTCCTCATCCTAACACAAACTCTCTGTCATCAGAACTTTACAACATCGGGCCGAATGCGCCCCCACGAAGACAGAAGGGAAGGAAAAGGAACTGAAACACGTTCAAGAAGCTCTTCAAACATGTGGATATCCTAACTGGGCTTTTGTCAAGTCAGCGAGGAAATCTACAAAACACATCAACAAACAGAAAAAGGAGAACAACAGACGTAAAAACATTGTCATCCCTTATGTTGCTGGAGTATCAGAGAAATTCAGAAGGATCTTCAACAAACACAAGATCCCAGTACATTTCAAACCCAGCAGGACTCTCAGACAGAGGCTGGTCCACCCTAAGGACAAAACACCCATACACAAACAGAGTGGTGTAGTGTATGCGGTCCAGTGCAGCGAGGACTGTCCAGACCTCTACATTGGAGAAACTAAACAGCCTCTTCACAGACGCATGACTCAACACAGGAGAGCCACCTCCTCTGGACAAAATTCTGCAGTTCACCTCCACCTCACAGATAAGGGACACTCTTTTGAGGACCAAAATGTGCACATTTTGGACCGAGAACACAGATGGTTTGAGAGGGGGGTGAAGGAAGCAATTTATGTAAAAAGAGAAAAGCCGTCTCTTAACAGAGGAGGAGGCCTCAGATTTCCACTTTCAAAAACATATAATGCAACTTTAAAACAGATTCCCAGCCAGTTTTCACACCTGATGGGAACAGAGGGGCCTCGACTGTGAATTAGAGGAACAAAGACCTACTGTTTAGGTTTTTAGGTGTGAACTGCCAATCTACATATATGTGTGTGTGTGTGTCTTATGTGTGTGTGTCTTATCTCACTCAGCCTTATAACCTGTATCTCTCACTCTCTGCTCTTTGAATTGAGAAAGCTCCTCGGATGAGGAGCGAAACGTCTTCTGTTACAAATAAAGTCCAGTTGTTTTTGTATTGAACGCTTTTTGAACTTCCTATAGGGAGATGTCTAGGGAGCATCCTTACTAGATGCCCAAACCACCTCAACTGGATCTTCTGGATGTGGAGGAGCAGGACTCTTCTCCGAGACGCTCCTGGATAAGTGAACTTTCCATCCTATCTAAGGGAGAGTCCAACCTGTGAAGAAAACTCACTTGTATCCACAATCTCGATCACAACTGAGTTTGTGACCATAGGTGAGGGTAGAAACATAGAACAACCAGTAAACAGAGAGCTTCTCCTTGCAGCTCAGCTCCCTCTTCACTACAACAAACTGGGACAGAGGCTGCAATACTGCTGAGGCCATATTGATCTGTTGACCTCATGCTCCGTTCTTCCTTCACTCTTGAACAAAATATTTGAACTCCTCCAATTGAGGTAGTACCTCACTCCCAATCCAGAGAGGGCAGTCAGACCTCATGGCCTCAGATTTGGAGGTGCATGATCCTCATCACTTCTGCTGCATTCGGCTGCGAACCGCTCCAGTAAGAGCTGGAGATCACGACAAGATGACGCCCAAAGGACCACATCATCTGCAAATAGCAGAGGTGGAATGCTGAAGTCACTAAACCAGACTCCCTCCGTCCCATGAACAAAATAAGTGACATTGGGCAGCCCTGACAGAATCCAACTCCTACTTTCAAGGGGTCCACCAGCAATATGAAAGCATCTTCAAAACAAACCATTTTTTCAAGCTTGGAAAATAAACAGAAGTCCTGTTGCTTCTTATTTAACTTGTGAAGCCAGATTTTCTTTGCAGGGAAATAATTAAAGAAACAAAACACATCCCAGTGTCTCTGGAGTTATCAGTAAACATGATGAAAGTACCAGGATTTCAAATTTAGTTTAAGCATGATTAAATAAATCCTGGAAGTTCACATTAGCTGCAATAGGTTGATCAGGGATGACGTCACAAAAATTGTGAGGAATCCCCAAAGTCCGGGCAAACAATGCAGCAGACTGCATGCATAATGGCCACCTTCAACGCTTTTATCCATTAAAAACTAAAATTAAAACAATGTTCCCGAGGCCAAAACAGACTTGGAATGTATTGAAGGATGCAGCAATACACACCTCAAGCGTTGGCTAGCAGTATCCAGCAACCGGGCCAAACTGAAAACAAGGTACTGTACATGCGGTGTTCCAAGTGCTTTCGTGCTGATTCGTGCTCTTTTGCCTCGGTGAAAAAGAGCAAGGATGACGGAAGATTTCGTGCATAATGCATGCCATTAATTCACCATGTATTGTGCAAGTTTTTGGCAGCAGGATGAAGAATTATTTTGCCAGCAGCTTCTTTTATTTTACTTTGTTCGCCAGTGTTAGCCATTTGTTAGCCATTTGTAAGCGATTGATTTTTTTAACTTTATTTTCATAAGTAAAAATGTTTTTAATTTATATCATTATAATCTTGTATTATAAGTCAAAAGACCACATGACCAGGAAGCTGAATTAAGCGCCTGAAGAAAAAAAAAATTAGCGTGGTCAGGTTGAAAAAGTTGTTTAGTGCTCCTGTTAAGTTTCTGACACGAAAGGAAAAGGCGGGTAAAATGTAATGGATGGATGGACATAAGTGTTCAGGGATTGCAGTTGCTGGTAGGGGATCAGGGTGCTCCTCTGTTGGTACGTTCTCTCCAACAAAGTGATTCGAATAAATTTAAGTACACCTGTTTACAATTGTCTGGTCGAAGCCAACTCAACCACAGAGTCGAATCCAATGATCACATTTCTCTCCCTGAGTAATCTGCTTTGGAAATGGTGGGAACCCTTGCATATGAGACTTGTCAGCATATCAGTATTGTAAGTCCCATAGCAACAAAGCTTCTAAAACCCTATTCGCACGGGATTAGTTGTACCTAAGGACCACAAGAAACAAATAAATTACTCCCAATGTCTGCTTTTTATGTGGCACATTCACATGGGATAACCAAAGCCTGAGATTTGTCTGAAATTTACAGACATTTTTCGGATATGATGTTAACGCGCTGCGTTGTCACTATTGAGCCAGTCCATATAATGTGATTAATGTGCGGTCCGGGCCGTTCTCAGACTTTGATGTGGTTAACTAAAGAATGCACAATATAAAACTGTGTTAATCTACTTGTTGAGGAGGAGACAGGTCCGACCGGCCGGTTTAAATATGTTAAAAAAAAAAGCCACTGTAAACTCAGATGGACAGCTGTCACCGGCCGTGTGCGTGAGCGGCCGCTGACCCGCCGGTTGAAATGGACTTGCGACCTGTCCAGTGTGTCCCCCGCCTCTCGCACAGTGATGGCTGGACATGGGCACCAGAGATCCCGCTACCCGAAAAGGAAGAAGGTGGATGGATGGGTCAGCTCATCATGTGTGCATCTCCGCACCTGCTGTCATCTGTGGTGAAGGAAGTGGCAGCATAAAAGTCGTCCCCTACCCGGGGACCATATATTAAATTGATTTTTGGAAAAGAGAGATGGAAAAGGGGCTTGCTCTGTCCACTCCACGCATCGACAGTGCAGTATCTCCATGACCGGTGCACGAGAAAAAAGAAGAAAAAAAGCCGAAGCGAGCAGCGCGTTCTTTTAAAATAGCCTTGCTCTATATTTTCCAAATAATTTTGCTTAAATAAAAACAAAAAACGCCTCATTACGTATCGGATCCTGCGTATTTCTGTCCAAATCACAGGGATGCCTATTCGCATTGGATTAGTATTATCACAGGACCTCGGAGTTCAGCAAAATATAGTAGGTAAATTGCGGGGGAATTTTCACTTTACAAATTACATACATGGCTGATTCGTACGGGATTAACAACACAGACAATCTCTGTAATTATTATAAATAGCATATGGTCCCTAGGTAAAACTAATCCTGTGCAAATAGGGCTTTAGATACAATTTTTCTGCTTTTTTTTTATTGGCACAAACGACAACTACAACAACTACAACTACAGCATTGATTATCCATGCTACTGATCTCATACTGCTGTATTCATTCATACCCATCTATTCACCACAGACTCATGGTCGGGCTGCTGTTGTTACACTGTATTGTTTCGCATTATTAGTGTTTAGCGTATATCTTAGATCTTTTAGCATACTGTTTGGCGTTCATTTAGCATATATTTTAGTGTATATTTTAGATCTTTATATAGCGTTTCTTTTTATACTTTATATTTTTGCTATTTTTGGGTGTAACTGGGACCCTGAGTACATAATTTCGTTCCACCTTATGTATCACATGTGATGCGAATGACAACAAACTTGAACATGAACTACCAGTACTTGCAGTGTACTCGAAGTTCTATTTGACCGAAATCTGGATACTTGCTGATGTCACATATTTCATTGGGAGCTATTTTTAGTAATCCTGACCAGTACTATTAGGATTTTTCTCTCTCTAAACAGAATCTAGTTGTAAAAAATATAAAAATACTCTTATAAATCTGGCCATTTTGGATCGGGAAAGTTCTTACCTTTTTCTATCCAAAAGTATTCTGATCAAGAATAAGGGGTCGCACTATCATAGCAGCAGCTACGTGCAGTCCGCCCATCTTTCGGACGACTGTACGAACATAATCTCATTGTATCCCGGTACAATGATAATAAAGCTTATTCTGATTCTGAAAAAGTATTTTTTTCTGTAAAAATAATTAGCAAATGTTTTTAAAAAAAATGCCTGTTTCAGGTCAGATGCTGTCAGACAGGTTACCTTTGTGTCGTTGAGCTGGGCCAGCGCCGTACAGGCGTTAGCTAACAGGAAGTCACCGCTGAGGACGGCCATCTTGTTTCCGAACTCCATGTCCTTCAGCGGACCGTCTGAAATTGTCCACTCCTTCAGGTTCACGATCCCACGATGCACCAGGAATGCTGTGTGGATCAGCTCAGTGATTTCCGCCAGGTTCCTCTGACTACAAAAAACAAACGGCGAAAGAAGAAGAAATAAGTTGTTTTAGAAGACGTTTCTCAGCCTTAAACAGATAAAAACCAGAGAAATATGCAGTTTGACATCTCAGTCAGAGCATCACAACATAAACCTTCAATAAAACCGAAGCATATTTGCTTCTCTTTTCATTTTTGGGTTTGAAAACCTAAACATTTGCCTTTTTTTAATAAATAAGCTTTAAAAGCAGTCAGAATCCTCGAGGGCATAAAAGCAACACAAATGTTGTGCGTCTTGCCACACAACATGTCAGAGGTCGCGTTAAAAAGAAATTAAACTTATCATTAGCAGATAACATCCACTCTTGATTGTGATGTGGGGAAAAAAAGACATAACAGAGGTATTTGAATGGAGTCTTTCAGAGCGGCCTAAAGGGAGGATATAATCAAATGTTGATTCAGTCATTGGTGGGGGATAATTAGGTCTCTCTCCATATGGAAGGAGCTCGCCACGCCGCGACAGGAGGAATCCATCCAGACAGGGTCGGGTGCGCTGATGGCCACTTACGACCTTCTTTCAGTCGCCGTGAGAAACCTGATGAGCCGCTCGTCCGCCTCCAGCTCCTTCCTGTACACACACTCACACACTCGCAGCCAGGTAATTGCCATTCTCCGCGTCGGCGACGAAAAGATGTGATTAAAACTCAATAATGTCATCTATTTCGCCTCTCAATCACACCCATTGTCTGGTCGGTTTCGCTGCTCGGTGACGCGCAGCAACAACACCGTCGCCCCGAATGAGAGTTAATAAGTTCAGGGCTCAAATAAGAGCAAATTAGCAGCTTGACAGCCGCGTGTCCTCGAGGCGCCTCGGAGCGATAGCTACGCTTCAAGAGGGGAATGAATTGTTACAACCCGAGGAACAAAACGTCGTGATTTTGGGTCACGGAAATTTAAAACTTAATTCCATGTCGGTGTTTGAGTGATGATTTCACACGATAAGATGCCATATCTACTCCTGCTACTTATAAAAACTCAAACGTTAGGATTCATCAGCGCAGAAAAACACGGTTTTCCAAAGTCAAACCAAATTAACTCAAACTACAGCAGTCAGGTTTACTTCGTTCAGTTCAGTCTGTACTGATCAGGGTTAAAAATATCTCCAATTAAACCTTAACAATAATAACAATAAACCTCTTATATGTAAAATATAGTAAAAGTACAACAAAGTTCAGTCAGATCATCTGCATGGTTTCTTTGATTGTTGAGACGTTTCGTCCTTCATCCAAAGCACTTCATCAGTCCGAGGAGCGACAACAAACTGTCCCACAAGCAGCACACTCACATAATGGACTAACCAGTTTGCTGGTGATAAGATGGTTTCTGGGGCCCGCCCTCTCCCCCGTTGACTCCTCTGAGGCAGCCATAACCAAAGTGGTTCAAAACATCAAAGTTCATGCTCAATTATCCAGGTAAAATATCCAACAAAGTTCAGTCAGATCATCTGGACGGTTAATTTTTTTGTTGAGACGTTTTGTCCTTCATCCTGAAGAAGTCCTTTGGATGGGGGATGAAACAGCTCAACAAAAGAAACCATCCAGATGATCTGACTGAACTTTGTTGGATTTTTTGACCAGGATTATTGAGCATGAACTTTGATATAGTAAAAGTAGTTCTGTTGATTCACTACATTATACACAAAGTTTAAAAAACATATATTTTGAAAAGAATAAGGAGATAAGAAGTTGAAAAGGAAGAATTATTTTAATGAAACAAGTTTCTATGCACTGATTTATAAACATTTTTTCCAGCCTAAAACCTCAGAATTGACATAGAAGCTCATCAGTTGCTTTTAATTCTGCTGTTCGGCTTCTGTAATATAAAGAACAGACAAAATAAACAAGTTATTGTTTCTCCTTTGTGAGATAATAAGCACTATTGACTTGAAAACACTGACAAACAGGAACATGTTTGTTAAAAAATATAATTTCATAAAATGTTATATAGAGTATCAGCTATTTTTTTTATATAAATATGACACTTTAGTCATCTCACAGCATAAATATAATCCTGAAGCCATGTGTTGTTCAGGTTGTCTGAGTTTAATCAACACTTTAAAAGGCTCTTTTGATTTTGTCAGAAATTGAGAGAAATTTGGATAAAAGCTCCCATCAGCAACAAACACAATCCAAATCCTTAAACCCTGCAATCCTGATCAGAAGCAGTGGAGCTTGGGGAGGAAAAAGGGGGACAAGGGGGCCGGTGTATAAATAGCTTTGGTTCCCAGTTGCATAGCAACCAATGCCATCTTGCTGAGGTGTAACGCCCCTTCACCACGCCCCTTGTCCTGACTGCTCTGTTCCATTTTCCTCCCTCCACAGTCTGCCTCGCCATCAAACCCAGACGTAGAAACGTGTGCTTGGCTTAAAGAGGCGGCCTGTCCATCTGACGGTTCTCGCTAAACAAGAAATTAAAAGGTGTGGCGGCTGCGAGTTGGACAATCTGCAAGTGCGACTGCGTTTCCATCCGTTCGTCCGTCTCCGTCTATCTATCATGGTGGTGATTTGGTGAATCATCAGTGTCAGGCAGCAGAGTGGGAAATGTTTTACAAATGCTCCCTGTCAGAAGGGAGGAGACCATCCCCCGGAGGTTTCAATCACACCCCCCAAAAAATAAAAAAATTAACGCCCCACCCCAACTCCCTCCATCTCGCCGTCATCCAAGGTGCTAATGAGCTCAGGAGAGGTGGAGACAGAGAAGGAGCAAAATAGTGCAAATGAGGTGATCAAGTCAAAACGTGTGTGTGTTTGGATTTAGACCATCCTTCTCATGAATGAGGGAATGTTAGATCCAGAGAAACATCACCTGACAGAACCAGGTTTGAGCCCGGTTTGTCCTCCTAATATTTTGGATGGTTCTGCACATGATCGGACCGGCTCGCAGGAAAGCAAAGAAGCCTTTCAGGCAGCCAGAGCTCAGCCATGCCAAACGCAGCAGTCATTTCTGGAAAACCACTTGGCACACACCCACATCCCTGTTCTGAGCTGGTGGCTGACGTGTGAAGAGGCCCGATCGGACCTCCAGGAGTTATCTAAAGTGTCTCATAGAGATTACATTACTTTAAATAAGTAGAAAAAATGATGTTGTGGATGTTGCATTCATTTATGCATCACAATTTTGCTCGAAGGCGAGCAAAAACATTTGGGTCGGCTTTCAGCTCATTCAGTTTCACATTCCAGTCCAACAGGGGGCGATACTTTGCTGGTTCGTCAACTGTTCAAAAAAATACATAAATCTGAGACTCTTCCTGCCAGGAATTTAACAAAGTGTGTTCTTGTAGTCCCCAAGCAGTTTGGTTAGACAAACGTGCTTAATAACATAAACTAGAGAAATTTCATTTCATGCGAAAATACCGTTTGAATGCTTATTGCAGAAGAACTTGCTGAAAAACAGCTGGCATTAGCTAAAAAAAATGCTGAAATGCAGCTGAAATGAAAGAACAAGCCTACATTAGCAGCAGAAAGCAGAAAGAACACATATTTGTTGAATTAGATTGAAATAAGCACAGAAATGAGGAAATCAGCTAAAACAGGCAGAAATTAGCAAAAATAAATTAATTAATTAATTAAAAACGTAACCGAAAAGGCAGAAAGAAGCTTAACCTAAGAGAAGGAAGTGGAAAGAGCTTAAATGAGCTTAAAAATAGTGGAATTACCTGAAAATGCTACAATTTGCATAAACCACAATAAGTAGCTGAAAAAAGCTGAAAGAAGCATAACAAGCTAACATAAGCAGAAAGCTGTTAAATGGGCTGAAAGTATCAGAAATTACCAATAAAAACTTGAGCTTATCTGAAAGCTGAAATTAGTAGCTAATTTTTTTCTAAAAAGGTAGCTGAAAAAGTAGAACTAGCTTAAATTAGCAGAAGAAAGCAGAAAGAACGTTTGCCCAATTAGGCTTAAAGAAGCAGAAATGAGCACAAAAAATAGAAATTATCTGAAAAAAGCTGAAGTTAGCAAAAAAAAAAAACAGCTGAAAAGTTTCTAAAAAAGCAGAAAGAAGCTTAAAGTACCAGAAGGAAGTGGAGAGAGCACATTTTTTGCTGAATTAAGCTGAAAAAGTTGAAATGAGTGCAAACAAATGTGGAATTAGCAGAAAAAGCTTAAATTAGCATTAAACAGCTAAATGGTAGCTGAAATAGCAGTAAAAGTTGAAACTTACTGAAATGAGCACAACAAGTTGAAATTAGCAGAAAGAAGTTAGAAGGACAAAACTTTATATGAAAGGAGCTCAAAACAGCTGGATAAACACCTGAAAGTAGCTGAAAGTAGCCAAAAAAAAGTTTTCATTTGCACAAGAAAAATGAACCAGAACAAAATGTGAAAGGAGCAGTAAAAGGCTGTAAACACATCTAAAGATTTGAAGGATGTAAACTGAGCTCAGTTCATTTTCTACAAGAAAAAAATGGCGGAAAAGGCTAAATATTTCAAAAAGCTAAAGTTGCACCAATAGCAAAAGTCACAGGATTGTCCTGAAAAAAGCTGAACATTTTGATGTATGATTTGTTGAAATAGCCTCAAAACGGCGGGAGGAGAATCGCGCTGAAAAATGTACGGAAGAAAAACGGATCACAAGTGTGTGAATGCTTCAAAAACATTCACACCATTACCGTAAAGTAAAAACAAGCGTTAACATCATTCTTCTTCTGCTCTCCGTCACGCTCGTCGTCTTCTTTATTTTTAATTTTTAGCAACATCTTTTAAATTCCAACGACAAATTTGAAGAAACGCAAAAAATCAACTTGATAAGCAATGGCGGTTTCAAGAATAAAAACTAACGTTCGGTGCAGCAGATCGGTGGTTTACCTGGGGTAGATGCCGCTGACCATGTCCTGAACCGGCAGATCAGAGACAGCGCAGCTCGGTCCGGCGGTTTTTGACAGGAGCAGGACAATCAGCCCTCTCATCTGAATATTGTTCTTGCTGTCGAAGACAAAGCCTCTGCAACAAAACAACGTCAGAACATTAGAGTTTAATCCAACATTTGTTACAAACCTGCTGACTCAGGCGTCTAGAGACGGTAAAGTGGGTTTAACTTCATAAAATACATTAAATTTCTGGAAATATGGAGGTTCACTGTGGGGTCTGGAAGGCCTTTTACAATGAACATTTAATAAATAATTCTTATTATACTTCATTTCTTCATTTACTTGTGTGAAACTAACTACAAGATATTACTACTGATCCAACCGAGACTTGAGGGTTGATCCTGTTGAAAGGAAACCGATTGTAGATCAGAACGGGCTGATTTTAAATTTAACCAAATTGTCAGGTGACCTGTAGATCAGGCACTCAAAAATGTGACTTTTTTCCCTCCAGTCAGTGAACGCACCACAGGAAAATGATGTAAAAGCAAAATAAATCTCCAGTTAGGAAGATTTTACAGGATGAGGATGACGCATATTAGTTAAATGTTAAAAAAAACAGTCAAAAGAAGATTCAAAGGTGTATGACATCATAAACAAACAACAACAAAAGCCAGGTTGGTTGTAGAGTGTGTTAATTAATGCTCAGTGTAAGATAGAAATGACCTTTTTAACTCATTTAAACTCGATGCACAATTATGACTTAATAATCAGATTTATGAAGAAAATAAAAGTCCAGAAGTTCTTGACTTGAGGTTTTAGGTGACAGATAGAAAAGGCTCAGCGACTCTATCTTCTTCCGTTTTAAAGAAACAATTGATTTTAAATTGATTTTAATTTGACAAACAATTGGGATAATTTAAATCAAAATCCGTGAGCAAATTAGAACTGGGAGACCAGAAAACCACCATCAGTCCATCTCTACTCAGTGTTATCTTACATTTTGTTACAAACTTGGTTGTTTATATGTGCTGCTGATTATCCATGATGCTGATCTCATGCTGCTGATTTCTTTCATGTTGCTGTGTTCATTCATCCTCATGCTCACACAGAGTCATGCTCGTGCTGCTGTTGTTTGGAGCATTATTTTGTATTATTTGGGCTTAGTGTATTCATAGTTTAGTGTATTCTTAGTTTAGTGTATTTAGTGGATTCTTACTTAAGTGTATTCTTACTTTAGTGTATTTAGTGTATTCTTACTTAAGTGTATTCTTACTTTAGTGTATTTAGTGTATTCTTAGTGTATTTAGTGTATTCTTAGTTTAGTGTATTTAGTGTATTCTTAGTTTAGTGTATTTAGTGTATTCTTAGTTTAGTGTATTTAGTGTATTCTTAGTGTATTTAGTGTATTCTTAGTTTAGTGTATTTAGTGTATTCTTAGTGTATTTAGTGTATTCTTAGATTAGTGTATTTAGTGTATTCTTAGTGTATTTAGTGTATTCTTAGTTTAGTGTATTCTTAGTGTATTGAATGTATTCTTAGTTTAGCGTATTTAGTGTATTCTTAGTGTATTTAGTGTATTCTTAGTTTAGCGTATTTAGTGTATTATTAGTTTAGTGTATTCTTAGTATATTTAGTGTATTCTTAGTTTAGTGTATTTAGTGTATTCTTAGTGTATTCTTAGTTTAGAGTATTTAGTGTATTCTTAGTGTATTCTTAGTTTAGTGTATTTAGTGTATTCTTAGTGTATTCTTAGTTTAGTGTATTCTTAGTGTATTAGTGTATTCTTAGTTTAGTGTATTCTTAGTGTATTAGTGTATTCTTAGTTTAGTGTATTTAGTGTATTCTTAGTTTAGTGTATTCTTAGTGTATTAGTGTATTTAGTGTATTCTTAGTTTAGTGTATTTAGTGTATTATCCATGATATTTAGTGTATTCTTAGTGTATTTAGTGTATTCTTAGTGTATTTAGTGTATTCTTAGTTT